GTACTCACCTGGTTGTGCTTGCGGGGGGTTGAGCTTTGGCTCTTTAGTCCTGCCTCTCAACTGTCAATCAACTGGTGTACAGATTCTGGAGCCTATTGGGCTCTTATCAAATCTACATTTGAAATTGTGTATCGAGTCTGCCACCATCACATCACTGCCTAATCCATTCCATTTGTTAACTACTATGACACTGAACAGATTCTTTCTAATGTCTCTTGGCTCATCTGGGTACTAAGTTTCCACCTGTGTTTCCTTGTCCACATTCTGCGTTTTCTAAATAGTTTGTCTTTGTCCACCCTGTCAATTCCTCTGAGAATTTTGTAGGTGGTTATCATGTCTCCCCCCTTACTCTTCTGTTTTCCAGGGACATGAGGTTTAGCTCCCGTAGCCTTTCCTCGCAGCTCATATCTCTCAGTTCTGGGACTAGTCTGGTGGTGTACCTCTGAATCTTCTCTAACTTTGTCTTGGACTCACCTAGTTGTGCTTGTTGGGGTAAAGCTCTGGGTCTTTGGTCCTGCCAAAGTGTGTTTAACTAAGTATGGACTCCAGGCTGGAGCTGCATATTCCAGGATTGGCCTTACAGAAGTGGTATACAAGGTCCTGAATGATTTCATACACAAGTTTCTAAAGTTAGTTCTTATGTTGGCCAATCTAACATATGCCAATGATAATATCCTTTTGATGTGGGCTTCTGGGGACATTCAGTGTGATATCAACCCCCAGATATTTCTCTCTATTTGTCTCTTGCATGATTTCATCTCCCAGATGGTACCTTGTGTTTAGCCTCCTGCTCCCTTCGCCTAATTTCATTACTTTACACTTTCCTAAGTTGAACTTTAAAAGACATTTCTAGACCATTCCTCCAGTTTGTCCAGGTCATCCTGTAGTCTCTATCTTCATCTGCCTTGATTCTTCTCATAATTTTTGCATCATCAGCAAACATTGAAAGGAATGAGTCTATACCCTCTGGAAGATCGTTTACATATACAGTATTAGGAACAGGATGGGTTCAAGTTCAGAGCCCTTTGGGACCCCGCTAGTGGCATCTCGCCACTCTGATGTCTTCCCCCTCAGAGTTACTTGCTGTTTCCTGTTGCTTAGATACTCCCTTATCCACTGGAGCCCCTTACCTTTTACTCCTGCCCGTTTCTCCAACTTTTGTAACAGTTTTTTATGGGGTACTGTGTCAGAGGCTTTCTGACAGTCCAAGAAAATGCAGTCTGCCCACCCTTCTCTTTCTTGCCTAATTTGTGTTGCCTGGTCATAGAATTCTATTAAGCCTGTCAGACACAATTTACCATCCCTGAACCCATGCTGATGGTGTGTTACAAAGCTCTTTCCCTTCAGATGTTCTATGAGTCTTTTCCTCATGATCTTCTATATCATCTTGCATGGTATACAAGTTAGGGAAACTGGCCTGTAGTTTTGTGCCTCATGCCTGTCACCCTTCTTGTATATTGGGACTACATTAGCTGTCTTCCAGCTTTCTGGTAGGTCTCCTGTTTCCAGTGACCTGTTATACAAAATAGAGAGTGGCACACTTAGTGCTTCTGCACCCTCTTAGTATCTATGGTGAGATTCTGTCAGGCCCAACAGCCTTTGTCACATTCATCTCCAACAGATTCCTTTTGACCTCATCACTGGTGAGCTCAAATTTCTCCAAGGTTGGTTTGCCGCCTCCTCATTTAGAGCAGGGGCTTCTTGTTGTTGTATTGTGAAGACCTCCAGGAATCTCTTGTTGCGTTCACACACCTTGTTATTCTCTCTGTTTCTGTTCTCTCCCTTTCTCAGTGTCATCACTTGTTCCTTCACTGCTGTTTTCTCCCTGATGTTGCTGTGGAGTAGTTTTGGTTGGGTCTTGGCTTTACTCGCAATGTCATTTTCATACTGTTTTTTCTCTCCTCAATCTGCATTTCTCCGCTGGTATCTCTCATTCCTGTATTTCTGTTCTTGTACTCAACTGGTGCATGGATTCATTTTTCATGGGCCGCTGGCCCTTCTGTGATCTCTCCTTTTCTCAGAGTTCTGTTTTCCATGGGATTCCTCCTCATCTCATCATATTTTCCTCTTCGGTAATTTAGTCTTTTACCTTCAGTCCTTTGATAGGTTATCTCTACCTCCACCGTACTCAAATGTCAATACTGTTCAAATTTGACTTACCTTATTTCTGACTCATTCAAGGTGAATATCAGGTCCTGTAATTTCTCCATGTTCTTGTACTCAACTGCTTCACTACCTTACATTCCTGTTTGAATCATGGATTCTTCTATTGCTTTTCATTTTCTCCTTTAGGGCTAAACCTATCTGCAGCTTCCTGGCCCTTCTGGGTGACAAGTCTATCATATCCTGTATAATCTTTTCTCAGAGTTCTGTTTTCCATGGGATTCCCATTAGGAAGATCCTCATCTCATCATATTTTCCTCTTCGGTAATTTAGTCTTTTACCTTCAGAGCCCATCCTTTGATAGGTTATCTCTACCTCCACCGGATACTCAAATGTCAATACACTGTGGTCACTTATTCCTATGGGGGGCTTCAAATTTGACTTACCTTATTTCTGACTCATTCAAGGTGAATATCAGGTCGAGTGTAGCTGGTTCGTCATTGCCTCTCATTTTTGTGGGTCCCTTGACATGTTGGCTCAGAAAGTTTCTTGTTGTCACTTCTCTAAATGTATGTGCACCTCCACGTTGTTCCCCATTCTCCCAGTCTATATTTCCATGGTTGAAGTAGCCCATGATTAAGAGTCTGGAGCCATTCCTGCAGGCAATTAAAGCTGCTCTCTATTATATTAATGGTTGCCATGTTGTTCCTATCAAACTCCTGTCTGGGGCTTCTGTAATTTAGCGGAGGGTTATAAATGACTGCTACTATCATTTTCGGTCAACCCATAGTCATAGTTCCTGTTATGTAGTCTCTGAATCCTTCACAGCCCAGAATTTCCATTTCTTCAAAACTCCAATCCTTCCTTACCAGTAGGGCCACTACTCCTCTCCCTTCCCCCTCTTTCCTTACTATGTAGCAGTCCTTTGGAAACACAGCATCCGTTATGACTCCTGACAATTTTGTTTCTGCGAGTCTTATTACATCTGGGCTTTCTTCCTGTGCCCTTTATGCCAGTTCATTACTTTATTAGTAATCCCATCGATGTTTGAGTATATTACCTTAAAGCTCACTTTCCTATATCCATTTTCACCCATACTCCCCACTGGTGTAGGAAGCCATTCCATGAGCAGGGGTACTTGGGTAGTCGCATTCCTCCTGTGGGGTAGTTACCAGGGGTTTGGAGGGAGGTGGGGTGGAGGATGGAGGGCTTAGATCTTGCCTGGGCCTGCTTGGAACAAGAAAAAGTACAGGGTGGGGGGCAGGGAGTGCTTGGGGTAGGGGGTGCTGGGTGTGCCTGGGGTGAGGGCTCATCCTCCTGTGGTGCAATCAGGGGTTTGGGTGGAGGTGAGGTGAGGCGAGGCGGGAGATGGAAGGCTTAGATCTTGCCTGGACCTGCTTAGGGCGAGAAGATGACCATGGGATGGGGAGGCCGGGGGTGAGGGGCAGAGAGGATTTGGGTAGTATGTTGGGCATTGTTTAGGGGAAGGGAGGGGCTCCTATGGGGGGTAGCAGGTGGGGGTGTTGCAGTTCCCTCTGGGGTTCCTGAATTGCTGGTTTGGGGTATGTATGTGTATGTAATTACCTAAGTGTAGTTACAGGATGAGAGCTACACTTGTGGTGTCCCATCGTCCCAGTACTCTGTCGTATAATGCTTTGAAACTACTGATGGTTATGCCCTCCACCATCTTCTCACTTAGCTTGTTCCAACCGTGTATGTGTGTGTGCTATATATTTGTGTGTGTATATACTGTATATATACACACACACAATAGGAGATCTAAGGCCTCCAGTCAATGTCTGCCATCTTCAAAAATATTTCCAGCATGCCCCATAGGCCTCCAAGGCCTATGGGGATCATCTTGAGATGATTTCGGGGCTTTTTAGTGTCCCTGCGGCCCGGTCCTCGACCAGGCCTCCACCCCCAGGAAGCAGCCCGTGACAGCTGACTAACACCCAGGTACCTATTTTATTGCTAGGTAACGGGCATAGGGTGAAAGAAACTCTGCCCATTGTTTCTCGCCTGCGCCTGGGATTGAACCCAGGACCACAGGATCACAAGTCCAGCGTGCTGTCCACTCGGCCGACCGGCCCATGGGAAAGGGTAGGCTTTGTTTCAAGAAAGTTACCATGGCTGACAAACGTGCTTCCAGCTCCTGGTCGCCGCTGGGTCGCGTGGTTGAAAAACTAGTCTTGGAGGATTATATACACGATGTATTGTTTTGAGAGGACCCAGAAAGTGATGTTGAACAACCAAAACCAGATAAAGACCTAACATAACAATCAGACATGAGTAATACAGACATGGATGAGAACAGTAGTGAATGCATACAGTACACGAATCTTGCCAGTCCCACATAAACATCATTGCCACAGTGTTTATCATCACTTGTGCCATCTGCTATTCCTGCCAATCACTGATGTGTGTCCAGTCATTAGGACAATGAGGACAGTGTGGCCTCAACTTTAACTGTTTGTGAGGAGTCTGTACAATGTAGAAGAGCTTCTTCTCTTGCCAACAGTTTTATGAGAATACAGAGCATTGGTGTTGGCACTAGTTCAAGCAGCACTCTGAGTACTTGTGTGAGAAGATTGAGAGAGTTTTGTGCCAGAAATACAAACTTACTTGATATGGATGTTGGTGTTAAGACACTTTCCCATATACTGGTGATATGAGTGAAGGTGAATATTTTATGTCTGATTTTGATGAGCCCTTCATGAAACATCTTGTTGACGAAAGCAACCGGTACACAGTACAAACTCATTACAGATGGCTTGTTACCAGCTTCATGTTTTGCACATTGGAAAGCAAGAACTGTTAGCTGAAATGTATGTTTTTCTTGCACTGTGTATTTTGAAACATTGTGAAAAGTCATACAGGATTATTGAAACAAAGTGTTGTTCTAACACCATTTTTCGAGACGAACATGTCACGTGACAGGTTCCTGCTACCTCTAAGGTGTCTACACTTTGAAAACAATTAAAATGTGGTTTAAAACAATGGACTATGGAAAATGAGGAAAGTGTTCAGTGATCCAAGATAAAATTTCAACTTTTTTTTTTTGTACCAGGGCAGAATGTAGTGATTGACGAATATCTTGGTTCTTTTCATGGGACGTCTTGCTTTCAAGCAGTACAGTATATCCCATCAAAATAGCACAGGTTTGGACTGAAATTCATTGTGCTCTGTGACTGTGAAACTAGAATAGTGATAGATATTAAATTCCAGTACTGATGTGGACATACCCGGTCACGATCCTCACATGTTTTCTGGCAGTGTGGTAAAACTGCTCATGGACATGAAGATATTCTGTATACTGACAATTACTATACCATCCCCTTGCTATGTTCCTGCTTAAACATAGGACTTTAGTCTGTGGCACAGTAAAGTCACATAAAGGAATGCCAGTGTTTGATATTGGTATTTCAGTGGGTGATTGGCAGCTCAGAAAAGGCGACAAAATTCTGTGTTGGAAAAACAGACACAGTAAATATGTTGACAACAATTTGCACTGATGGAATTATAGACAGTGACAAAGTGAACTTTGCACCACATGGTAAATTGCATAAACCAAATTGTCATGGACTACAATATATAAATGTGTGATTAGTAGATAAGTGTGACATGATGATTGGTGCACTGGAATGTGCGGGAAAAACTGTGGAAGTGGACCAAAAATTTATTTTTTCACCTTTTAGATGTAACAGTGCTGAACTGTTTCAACATGCATTTGGTGGTTCTTGCCTGATTACACCAATCTGTACTTTTATATTACTCTGTTGACACAATTGTGAAGTTTGGCTAGGAAAGCAGTGTTGTGACAAAGAGTTTCTGCGCCAACAAGGCCTCGTGCTGCTCTGGGCAGACTGGGTTACAAAGACGCTACACAAGCTTGGTTACATGCCAAGTATGGGAATGTGTGACAAAGGTAAACGTGTGTGTGCTGTTTGCAAGCACATGAAACGAAGAGAGGAAGCAAAAATGTGTGTGTGTAGCTGAAGTGTAGAATGCAAAGTGGTTTTGTACACCTTTGACTGCTTCAGTGATTATCACACTCATAAAGTACAGTACTGATTTTGTTGTTTTGTTTAAATATAGTGTGTGTGTAAACTATGTATATAAACTGAAAATTGAAGATTATTGTGACAAATTCTAGTGGACACTTTAGTGACACTTATCATTATTACTTGGAACAATATGCACCTTCTACTGTTTACAAATCACAAATGACATCCTTGTGCATAAATGAACATAAAAAACACTAGAAACTGTGTGAAAAATGGAACAAGGTAATAGTTTGGCAACTCGCGGGCCTTGAATCACCCGTAGGACCGGCTTCGGGAGTCTTCAGCACGAGTGCCCAGGCTTCTGCGATGTCACCCCAACTTCTCCACTTCACAGCAGCCAAAGTTTATTTTTTTTTTTTTTTAGTTTTTTTAGTTTTTTTATATGTCCATGATCAGGGAAGAGATTTTAACACTAAGAAAAAATGAGGGGGGTGGGTTGTGCACCATGGGATTGTCATATTAAACTAACGCACAGTACAGTACATGGGTTAAAGTGTAATCATTAGTTATATCTTTGATATTCACACAATTTAAAGAAATATTACCAAAATCATGCTACTTTATTATAATTACCATCAAGTGTTTGCACACACCTTTACTTTATTCTATTTAGAAAGCAATTGTTATTTTGTTAAATTTCACTTTAAACAGTATATACACATCACTGAACAAAGAATGGGGAAATCAAAATGTAATAATACTTTAAAGTTAATATATGCATATATAATGTTAGATGCAAGACAGCCTTGAAATATTTGTTTTGCATAGAAATTGAAATTCAGTTCACAGGTAGGCTGAGCTGTTGCATGCTAGGACCTGGATCTTGTACCACGAGACAAACATCTATCCATAACTGCAGCCCCAGTTAACATGTTCAACACTGCAATTACAAGCAAACCTTGTGTTTGGCTTTTTGAATTTTCCCATTTACTTTATTTCAGCATTTGTGTCTATATAATGCTATATATCACTATATTGTCAAAGGGATCACTTTTAAAATTGACCAAAATAAATCTGAAATGTCTACCACAACTGGTAGTTTCATGGAACATCTTAAGTGGTCTGCAGCTGGTTGAACACTTAATATCTTCTAAATATGCTAATCAGAAAAATCACAGAATAATTAAGAGACTGTACAGTTTGTCTCAAATCCGTAATGTATATAACATTAAGCCAAAAACAGTGTACTGTACTTGAATATCACCGAGTTAGTCTTTATAAACTAGCACAACATTAAAAATGCAATCTTCAAGTAATAAGAAATTATGCATCATCAACATCTTGGAAAGAATAAAAGTTCTGTCGTGTGAACAGTACTCGACAGACTATTCGGAAAGTCTCGGCTCAAAGCCCTGATTCTCGCGACACTTTTCAACCGCAACATCTTTGCGCCCTTTCAATATAATAGCCCTGCTATTATAGCTTGCGACTATATACTATAAGCCTGACAAATGTAATATAATTGTCACGCAGCTGTGACAATTACAGTACAGTACTGACATGGCACACATCATATTGAAGCAATTTTGTGATCAATATATTATTCAATCTAGGCACAAAATAGATTTGTGTTTGGTAAATTCCCACTTAAATGCCACAGAACATGGCAGAACAGTAATAAATCTTTAATGATAATATGAAAGACTGAAGGTACATAACTTGTAAAATATTTAACTTAATAAAGAAATGTTAATCTCTTGAAAACTCTTAATAACACTTGAAAATATTCATTATAAAATTCTTCAGCAATTTTTTTTCAATTAATAATACCACATAAACCTAAAATGAATACAAATATAAAAATCTTTTCTCTTGAAGTAGGTTACAAGTTGTCAGCTAATATAAAGATTACCATTTTGGTGAGTTGTGCACTTGGAACAATAAATCACACATGGTGAAGGTCACGAGCCAAGCCAGGAACATCAAAGACGCCATCAGCTACGGCAGCTGACACCTTGGCACCACTTCTTACATGCAGAGTTGTGTACACATCTTGACAATATTTAGTGCACTAGACACTTTTGTTAGTGCATTATAAGTACATGAAAGTACACGAGGAATATTGCCAATATCTGCTTTCACTTAAATGCATTGCAGTATAGTATATATTTAAAAACACTTTATAAAGAGTATAAACTTATAGTGTAGAAAATTAAGATACTACCCACCCGTATAAGTTTAAATAGGGTAATACAGTGAATAATGAAAATGCCATTTGGTAAAAGTTTGCTTCTCCTTTGGTTTTGCAGAAGTCTAGTTAGTAGAACATATTTTCCATATCCATACATTTTCAATTTCAGAATTTTTTTTTTTACTAATGTTGAGACACTATCATTGTAAATCCTTTAATATTTTCCCGCTAGAGTATCTTTTACCAATCTGCAGCCATCATATAGCATCTGCCACTAAACCATCTCTTAATTTTGACTTTATTTATATGACATTTCATGCCAATTACAGTATAGATGTCTGGAATTAAATATCTTAACTTGCTAACTGCAGCTGTTGATGTAATTCTCACTGTATCACCTGTTAAAGCAACTGCACCACCTATTGCCTCATTTGACCACATGCCGTGCTTGATGAATAGTCGGGTCTACAGCTGTACTGTATCTGCCAGCCCACCACATCATCTATCCTCCCCGCCAACATCCAACTCGTCTACTGCTGGGAGGGAAGTATCGAGCGACCTCTTCCTGTGTCGGAACAATGGGCAAGTTGATTATTGTGCATTTAAAAAAAAAAATTGTCATTAATACCATCCATAACTAGAAGAGCAAACACTATATAAAAACTAATCTTAGCATTTGATGAAGGTTTAGCTTTGAAATTAACATTATTTTTAACCCTATATCTTAAACAACAATAATATGAAATATGGTACAAATTTAATGGTGATTTATATACTTTTACTCTGAAATTAATTATTATTTTTTCTCACCATCTAAATTAAAAAAAAAAAAAGATAATACTGTACACACAAACTGTACACTGTAGTAAAATACTGTGCTTAAAAATAATAGGAAAATATAATTTGGCAGCCACAAAACACAAAGGCAAACATGGTGCAAAAGGGCAACAACACGGAGAAAAAAATTATAATTTTTTTTTAAGTTTTGTACTGTATTTACAAGCTAATAGAGAAGGGCAGTGAAGGGGTTAAAAAAAAAAAAAGTGAGTCTGACCAGTGGTCCTTGAAAAATATGAGAGGTCCAGTATGTGTGTGTGGGACTGTTGTGATGAGGCTATTTTAGATATTGTCATAAACCAAATCATTATGAATATGCCAAACATTTCTCACATAAGAATTATGGTCAAAACTTTCATGTACTTAAATACAGTTGCTGGCTGTAGTTTTTGTGAATTTCACATAAGTAATCTGATTGGTCTTCCTAATACTGATACTACAGCCCATCCTCCCATTTTGATGGTACTTATACTAACAGTGTGGACCATCGTGCATACAGTGATGCAATTGAAAATTAGAAAGTAAAAATTTGGTACTACTGAATTTGGAGAAACAAAAAAACAAAAGGTTTTGTATTTATGTTGTTAATAAAACTAACCTAATCACCCTAGGTTATTAATGCATGATGTCTGAGGCCTAATATAGTACATGTGTGTGCTGTACTAGGCCTACGAATATTTCCGTGTGGCTTTTGGCTTTATTTTTTCCAGACTCTTATAAGTAAGTAATTATCAAAAGAAGGCACCAAACCAGGAAGGCCCCCCCAGACCCTTATAAAGTGACTTGTACAAATTCTATCTAATTGTCAATTATGTCAGTATGTGTACAATGGTTCACATAGTTACAAAAAGTACTATCTAAACAGGAAGATGGGTTAGATACTAATAGAAGCAAAGAAAGCTTACACCAAGATCATCAACAACAGCAATGAAGTCATATTTAAACAAATTATGTTTAAAGGAATGCTGCTCAAGTATACAAATATATTTATATACTAGGGGTTACTCAGTATTGCCTGGGGCTGGCTCTCTCATCTGTCTGTCTATCCATCTGTACATCAATCTAGCTATCCAACTAGCTTTCTATCTGTCCACCTACTCATCTATCCATCAACCTACTTTGTGTGTCTAGGTTTGCCTCTTTCTGTCTGTCTCATAAAAATATAATTGTCTAATATGTGGATGGTCGCCAGTGAGAGAATCTTAGTGGTGTGAAATACTAAAAAAAAACAATAGTTACCCCTCTTACTCTACTAAAGCCCCATGGCTTGAGAAACCTTTGACACTGTGGAAAAAATTTCTGTTTTATGCAAGATTGTGCAAATTATTGACAGCACAAAATTTCTGTTAATTTTCCCAAGATCAGAGAATAATTGTGCATATTACTGTAAGTTTTTTCTTGTCTAAGTTCATGAAAATATTTAGCTGTGTAGCTGGTGGACAGGGCCAAAAATCTTCATCGGGGTGTGAATGTGACCCTGGCACACTGTTCTTTTTTATTAATTCTGGTGGGTAAGTAGACCCCCGCCCAGCCTATGTTCATCCCGTACCCCAGACCATTCCCTCTGCCGATTTGGGTGATGCTAGCTCCAAATGTCTGGCCTTCAACTTCGAGCAAACATTCTCTCACAGTACAGATAAATATTTTGCAAAAATTGTGTTAATTTGGCATTGCATTCTGGTACAGCAAACATTCAACAAATTCACCAAAATTTTTCCAATACATTTATATTGCAACTGACCAGAATGGAATTCTTTCCAGTCCATCCAATCTTTCCGTCAACTACATTTCATTCAACCAGGTTTAGACTCTACAGCATTCACAAAAATACCAAATACCCTTAGACCTTGCTATATCTTACCGAGTTACACACATTTCACATACTGTATAGGAACTGTTACATGCCAAGTGTAACACTATTATTTAATTGAACTGTACATTGATAATGAATTATTAAGAAGTTTTAGCCTAATATTTTTTTTAATTAATGTTTTTAACATAAGAATATGACAAACATCTGACAAGTAATAGTTATGCCCCTGCTAAGAAAAAAGCAAAACTTATTAATTTTGAAGTAAAACTTAAATGTCTCATGGTTGAATAAATGGCTTTTTATAGCTCTGGTATAAATGGCATACTTCACCCATGGTATACTTCACTCTGGTATACTCCTCAGGAGCACACCTCAAATAGTGAGGTCTTATGTTACTGTACTCCTAAATATGTTCACTTAACAAAAACAATAATGAAATACAGTAATCATGAAATATGTTTTAAACAAGTCTAATTCATGTCAAAACTTCACGATGAAATGTACAGCGCCAGTAGCACGAGTGCTCAGTGTAGTGTAGAGAAAAAGCCTGGATACCAGAAGCATTTAAATCAGCAGATATGGCTTCCCTACACAAGGGAGGCAGCAAAGCATTGGCTCTATGCATCCAAAGCAACAAAGCATTGGCTAAAAATTATAGACCAGTCACACTACCATCACACACAATAAATGTTTTTGAAGGTGTGATCAAGAGTTAGATCTCCAGTTTTATGGAGAACAATGATGTTCACAACCCAGGTTAACATGGATTTAGAGCGGGAAGATCATGGCTATTGCAGTTACTCAATCACTATGACAAAATCATGGAAGCATTAGAACAACAACAAAATGCAGATGTGGTAGACACTGACTCTGCGAAGGCATTTAATAAATGTGACCATCAAGTGATAGCGCACATAAAATGAGATCAATAGGAATGACCGGTATTAAATTTCATCAAACAGGATGCAAAGAGTAAATCAATCAAACAAAATCTAATCCAAGCACAGTGAAAAGCTCTGTACCTCAGGGCACAGTTCTAGTACCACTGCCATTAGGCAGTGATATAGTGAAGGCAGATTCCATACACAGTTTTAAATGTAGATTTGATATAGCCCAGTAGGCTCAAGAATCTGTATGCCAGTTGATTGAAAGTTGGCAGGCAGGACCATAGCTTAATCACTTCAAGCACAGCAATGTGTGAGGTGAATTGTCAGCATGAGTATTACTTGTGTAAAAGACACTGAAGAACTACAGGCTGACTTTAATAAGTTTTTGATTGGGCAACAGAAAATAACAATGTTTAACAGTGATAAATTCCAGGCACTGTACTTAGATATGGAAAAACGAAAACCTTAAACATAATACTGGGTACAAGACACAATCAGATCTACCCATAGTACTAAAGCAACATGTAAAGAACTTGAGAATAATGATGTCTGATGACCCAACATTTAGGGAGCATAACCAAATAAATATATTGTCAGTTATAAAAATGGTAGGATGAATTATGAGAACATTCAAATCCAGGGATCCTACCACAATGCTCATATTCAAATAACTTGTGGTGTCCCACTTTGAGCACTGCTTGATGCTCACTTTCCCCTTCAGAGCAGGAAAGATCGCTGAAATAGAAGAAATACAGAGAACCTATACAGCACACAGACATGATAAAATACTTAAATTATTGGGACTATCTTGAAGCTCTCAAAATGTACTCTCTGGAAAGGAGACAAGGCATCAGGTAATATATACTGTACTTGGAAAATACTTGATGGCCAAGTCCAAAATTGGACTTTGAGCTGGAGCAAATGATATGATGGGAAATGCACAAATAAGTGGGAAGATCATGCCTATTGCAGTTACTCTACCCAGTGAAGAGTAGAGCTGCCATAAACACAACCAGAGAGTGCTGTATGAACATCAGAAGTCCATGGCTGTTCAATATCCTCCCAGCTGCTATAAGAAATATTGCCAGAAAATAGTGGACATTTTCAAGAACAAATTAGACAATATACTACAAGATGTGCCAGACCAACTGGGTTGTAGTGGATATGTAGGCTGCGGGCCATTCCAAGAAAACAGTCTGTTGGACCAAACTCTCCTAAGTCAAGAGTTTTTACTCCGAGAACAGAATGAGAGTTGTTCGTACAGAACAACTCCGAGAACCCCCTCCAGGTCAGATCCAGGTAAGATAAATAGATTATTTGAAAACATGCAGTGTCATTTAAAAATTCATAAGGGTGAAAATTTAATATCTTACCGGACAATGGTAATTTTTATGTAATAGCTCCCAAGTTACATAAACGTATACAGCATGGGAAACATTGCTGGGTCTATACTACACCACAAAGAGCAACAAAGGCGTGCAGTGCAGGGCGCAGAGTGGAGGAGACGTGAGCTGCCGATTACCACCACCACCATAACCCATACCTGTCAAAGTAGAACTCATACGAACCAGGCGCCGAGTGAGACCGTCCTGTACGGGCAAACTGCTCTTTGATGAATACATTCATCTTGAATGGATTCTGGAAGCTGTGTTTCTTGAGCATACATTTAATTAGGATTAGTGTCTCTAATTTAGGGATGGAGCGCACACAACTCTGAACTTCTTCTTCCGTAACCTCAATAAGTATACAGTTTTCTTCTTCTGATGGCAAAGGGTACTGATTGCCTGCTGTGACCCAAGGATGCTCCTGTATGTACACAAAGTTTTCATATGTAATGTTCATTCATTAAATTAAAAATGCTTGTAATGTTTCAATATATCAATCTTCATCCTTGACATTATTCTCTATAGAGAGAGAACAATATGTCAATATGAACAATATATGATGGTGCTAAAGACAAAAAAAAAAAAGCAGAATTACATTTCTATTGGAAGGAAAACTGACACCACATGAATGTGGGCAAGTTGGAGACTAGAGCACAATGGCGAGAGAAATATATATACGATTTAAAAGACTGCTTACCAATTGTTAATGAAGGTGAAGTAACAACATATATAGAAGGATTATTTAAACTGTGTAGACACACACACACACAACTCTACCTTAATATCTGGTAGTGTTATTCTTTTCGCAGGAATTTTTTCCAACATTAATGAGATTAGGTCTTTGAGATCATCCGAGACAAACGGCACAGGTGGGAAGTAAAGAGGAGAGCTTCTAATCTTGTCGTATAGCACCACTATATTTTCGTCGTGGAATGGCAGCTTACCGTAAACAAAGGCATACAAAGTGACACCCATTGCCCATATATCTGCTGCCTGAAATATAAGGAGTCAATAGGAAATGTTCAAAAGGGATTACCAGTACTTATATTTAAATACAACATTAAAAACTTACCAACTTACTTGACACAAGTTTTTTATATAACCCTATACCCTGTAGTATAATTTATAAAAATGTAACCTCTTCTCGCCATAAATAATTACTTAATTTGGGAACCTATACATAACACTTAGGAGCGTGGTCATATAAAAGAGTTGGCCCACATTACTATATACTCCAAGATTTTCTTCTCTCATTTTCTTCCTTACAATTTCCTCTAAGCTACAAAACTTCTGGTAATACTGTACATATATTTTCCAGTAAACATTAAATGTAATCACAAGAAGAATTAGATAATTCTTCTTGTGAAAAAAAAATATATATATAAAATAGTACAAAACATATTCTTTAACAACTCTCTGGCTCCTGCTAAAATTCCTTGCATGTTTTTTTTTTCTTCCAAAAATTGCAATTCTCTCAACATCCTTTACAACCAACCACTTTAGGTTCACTTCACTTTCAATTTCCATGCCTTTTTTTTCTTGCCCAAGTTCCTGTCACTCAACAATATGATTTTGTCGTTTCTTTGCTATTACATAACATCTTGTTTCTGAAATTAAAGGAATTAAATTTCTTTCACCTGGCAACTCCAGTTGTTAGTCCAAACACATTGCAATACAGTACTACATTTTGTTCAGGGTTAAATCACCAGCACAGAAACTTATTCCTTGACACCCACGTAAACTCTTCAAACTGCACACCCTCAATATATAAAAGTCAACTGCTGTACAAACTTTCTCCATTCCAAATGCTATACCGTACAACCTTTTAATTTATTTTAATTCCCATTGTTAGACACAGGAAACCACACTGACAAATCCTCAGAATACGACTCAAAACAGTCAATTATTTCCAACGAGCCTATTTGCTGCTAGGTAAGCAGACAAAAAGGTGTAAAGAAATGTGCTCAAATGTTTCATCCTGCCCTGGAATCTGACCTGGCACAAATCTCTTGTGAGTCAACTACACTAACCACTGGGCTGCACGGGCAGTTTTAAAAATTACCCGTGGTGCTTGTGCAGTGTACCGTGCAGTGTACTGTGCAGTGTACCATAGTGCACTGCACTATGGTACTCCAGACCGTGGAGCACTATGGGTACTCCAGACCGTGGTGCACTATGGCCACTCCAGACCGACAACCAGAGCGCAACTCCATAGTCTCCTGAGACTGATGGATGCCTACTACTACTACCACCATAGTGTACCGTGCTGTGTAACATGCAGTGCACCATTGTCCAGTCTGACCTGACCTGTGTTCCCAATGAACACAGGATCATAGCTTAGGGAGAAGGAGAATAACCTGCTCAGAAGAACACTGTTCATTAAAACTCAAGCGTCTGATTCATGAATCGAATACTGATCATTAATTTTAGGAAACATTATTCAACCTTCAAAAATAAACAAGATCTCTAATAATCTTCCTATTTCTATTGATGGATATGTCACATAATGAATGAAAAAGTCACAGTGACATTGGAAGAGTAATCAATATTTTGTCAAACTGAACTGAAGTTATATAGTCCTTAGTCCTAACACTAAATCTTGGAACACCATGATGAAAATATATTGTATAATATTATATATACTGTAATATACATATGAAAATGTCTGACCATGAAGACAAGTAAGACAGGAAATTCCCCAAATCCTTTCATATTAATCAATACATCTTCAGAAGGATGGCGGGGAGGAAAACAACGAGGCGAAAAATATAATATGCAGTATATATATATATTAAAAGAAAAAATCAACAGGAGCTCTGAGGTGACTCGATCCCGCAACCAAGAGAATCCCAGCCACTGACGCTACCACTGGACCACCCTGACTTGGAGGGAAGTCAAGGTGGTCCAGTGGCTAGTTTCCCGCCTAGTGGGCAGTGGAAGAGAAACATAATATACAGTGTATATACAGTACATAAACATAACTGTATATAAAACCGTTTCTAAAACACACACACAAACTAACCTTTCCAGAATATTTGTGCCGTGATGTTGAGAGCGCTTCTGGAGCCATGAAGGCTGGGGTCCCGGCTGTGTTGGTGAGAAAGGCATCTTTCCCATCAAATTCATTGCATACCCCAAAGTCCGCTATCTGAATATGACCATTGTCTCCAAGGAGTAGGTTTGATGGCTTGATGTCGCGATGGATAATCTTCTGATAGTGCACTGCTCAATTAAAAGGGAAAATTAATCATATTTATTTACTAATGAACAAGATTTCATTCAATTATAATTACAGTATATAGAATAACTTTTTTTTCACAGACTTCTAACTATAAGTATAACAATTGGAGCCCCAAAAAGTACATTAAAACTTCACAAATGAAATTGAATTAACCCTTTAAGGGCAATATTTCTCAAATCTTGTCAATCTTTATCACCTTTCCCAGGGCAGAATTTGTAAAGGTTTTGAATATAATGTATGTCTGATAAACACAGTTGCCATATAATGTAATATACAAAACAAACACAGCAATTCTAACAAATATTTACACACTTGTTTGTGTTACAAACATTTCAAGTAAATGCGTTAATTAATAGATTTGTAAACACTTTTGAAAGACCATTTTGATAATACTGAACTGTGCCTAATTGAAATACAAATGATTTTTGCTCATAGATGCAGAAAACATTGTGATTATCTTACACTGCCAACCTTCTGGCTTGCTGCCATAAATTATTTGCTTATTGAATGTTGCAATACTTTGTTTCATAATTGTAAAACTTCTCATAAATCCCCACAAACTCAAACCCCTGACAGCATTCAGCACTCTTACTGAAATCATCGAATATATTAAATATCAAGTCACTGAAGTGTACTCTATATTGTATCTGTAAAACTATGAACTGTAATACTGATCGTGACCAACTAGAGGGTTGTAACATAACACATGGGCATCACACAACAAAAATATCTATTTGATATTCTAAAAGGTGCAACTTGACCAAAGCAGAAAGTCCTTGAAATTAAGGGTCTTGAACAATGCAATGACCTCCCCAAATGTTTATCCAATTTTATATATAAATATATGCATTATTATTATTATTATTATTATTATTATTATTATTATTAATATTATCATCATCATCATTATTATTATATTTGAGAGGCAGTCATTCTACTACTGCCATAGGTATACATTTCTTCCTGAACACCTACCAAGTCCACAAACTGCATCAGACAAGTTTCACATACAGGAACTAGCACCACTGAGCCCCTTATACAGGTACCACATCTGCACACTCAAGATGTACAGGTACAGTACTGGTATTGGAGGCACATCAGATGACATCACTCGCATGAATGCCAATTGATGCCTATCAGCCAGTCTCAATTCCTCACTCACTCTACCACTAGGTGGTAGTATCTCGTCTTACCCCAGATACACGAACTAACCACAGCTCATATAATATTTTTAGAACCTTGTAGCAGTTTGGTGGGACCATATGGTTAGTTTTGTTGCTCTTGTTTTGTCTTTGACTGGAAACTTCCCAGTTCTGTGTATTTAGTTCAGGCAAAAGTGTTCTTTTAAGACAGGTTATTTTGAATTGCTGTTTTCCTGAACACTGTCTGAAGTGCCTTTTCAAAAATTAGACAATGGTAAGCTTGTTTACTGACTGATACTATGATACTTCCAGTAGCTTTTAACTGTTTGCATGAAGTATGGTCTTTGTCTATGTTCAGGATGAGAGTCAGCATATCTGGTACATACTATAAAGGTATATTGGCACTCACAGTGGATGTTTGATGTCTTATACGAGATTTCTGATTTTTTTTATATTGGCAATTCAAATTGGAAGAAGCAAGATTCTGATTGTACTGGTTGCCTAGTAATGACCTCTGTGTCTTTTCCTTGTAGTTAACATTAAAGGACATGTCTCTTGTGGTTCTAGTTATTCCAACTGCAGTTTTGGAAAAATAGCAGCATCAGAATCTGTTGTTGATCTGTGTTTGATGTATCTGGTAGATGGAGAATAGTATACCAAAAGTGTCTACTACTCCTGTTGATTGCCCTGGGATCTACTAATAATTTACCAAGGATTGAGGTATGGCTTACCAGGTGTTTGCCGGGTGTACCACCGAGGAGCCGGTCGGCCGAGTGGACAGCACACTGGACTTATGATCCTGTGGTCCCGGGTTCGATCCCGGGCGCCGGCGAGAAACAATGGCCAGAGTTTCTTTCACCCTATGCCCCTGTTACCTAGCAGTAAAATATGTACCTGGGTGTTAATCAGCTATCACGGGCTGCTCCCTGGGGGTGAAGGCCTGGTCGAGGACCGGGCCACGGGGACACTAAAGCCCCGAAATCATCTCAAGATAACCTCAAGATATACCATTACATGTCTTGCCACTTGGCGTACTTAGCCATCCATGGCAGAGTAGGTGCTAGCTATCCTCATGATCCTCCAGAACCTGCTGTCTTCTTGGCCAAGCCAGTTCCAGGCCCCCACTGAACACTCCAAGATCAAGAATATTACAAAATAAAAATCTAACTTTCTTGTGACCCCAAGTGATATGTGCCCTATGTGTTTTAACCATCTGGGGAGTTGAATGGTTGCCTTATGACATAAGCATAATCGTATGGGATGGATTCTGGTGACCCTTAGGCAGAGCAGAAACCAGATACAGTATCTGCAGTGTCATGAGTGAGCTGGGAATCCAAGGTAATTACATCTGATCACAGCCTTGGATAATGATGCAGAGACCAAGCATCACTTGGAGGTTATTCTAGGATAGATAATTTTCTCTAGTCTTACCCCCTTCCTCTACTATGATCTATGCTGGGAAGTGATTGTTTATCTGGCATGACTTATTTATGGTCCTGTCATTTAGGAGAACAGGCCTAAGGAAGCAAATGAGTGATAGAGCTCAGGAATTATATGAAAGTGCTGTATGTACAGTACTTTCATGACTTGGGACAAGTTAAAATTTATTATAGCTGCCACCGAGATATTTACACATCTTAAACAATGTACTGCAAGGTATGACATAGGAGTAGCAAGAAACACTACAGTTTAATGTGTCACAATACGTCGTACTTACAATACTCTATGCCAAGGACGACATCTCTGAAATAGCTCCAGGCTTGGTCTTCACTTAGTGGAGTGTCTGTTGGGATCTCCATCACCTCACCCTTCTCTAGGAGCTCAAATACTGTAAAAGAAAATGAATGAATGTATGTATATGTATGTATGTAAGTAATTATGTAAGTAATTATGTAAGTGTAATTACCTAAGTGTAGTTACAGGATGAGAGCTATGCTCGTGGTGTCCCATCTTCCCAGCACTCTTTGTCAAATGACGCTTTGAAATTACTGACGGTTTTGGCCTCCACCACCTTCTCACCTAACTTGTTTCAACCGTCTACCACACTGTTTACAAAAGTGAATTTTCTTATATTTCTCCGGCAGTTTTGTTTCATTAGTTTAAATCTATGACCTCTTGTTCTTGAAGTTCCAAGTCTCAGGAATTCTTTCCTATCAATTTTATCAATTCCTGTTACTATTTTGTACATAGTGATCATATCGTCTCTTTTTCTTTTAGCTTCTAGTTTTTGCATATTCAATGCCTTTAACCTCTCCTCATAGCTCTTGTCCTTCAGTTCCGGGAACAATTTAGTGACATGTCTTTGCAACTTTTCCAGTTTGTTGATGTGCTTCTTACGATATGGGCTCCATACAACCTCTGCATATTCCAGCTTTGGTCTAAAAAAAGTTGTGAACAATTTCTTTAGTATTTGTCCATCCATGTATTTAAAAGCAATTCTGAAGTGAGAAAGTGTAGCATAGGCTCCTTGCACAATGTTCTTAATATGGTCCTGAGGTGATAGTATTCTGTCTGGAACCACCCCTAGATCTCTATCATAATTCTTTAAACATTTCTCACATAATTTATAGGTTGTGTGGGGTCTATGTTCTCCTATTCCACATTCTATAACATGGCATTTATTCACATTAAATTCCATTTGCCAAGTGGTGCTCCATATACTTATTTTGTCCAGGTCTTCTTGAAGTGTATGGCAATCATCTAAGTTTCTTATCTTCCCTATTATCTTAGCATCATCAGCAAACATGTTCATATAATTCTGTATTCCATCTGGTAGATCGTTAACGTAGATAATGAACATTACCGGTGCAAGAACTGAACCCTGTAATTACCTAAGTGTAATTACCTAAGTGTAGTTACAGGATGAGAGCTATGCTCGTGGTGTCCCGTCTTCCCAGCACTCTGTCATATAACGCTTTGAAACTACTGACGGTCTTGGCCTCCACCACCTTCTCACTTAACTTGTTCCAACCGTCTACCACTATTTGCGAAGGTGAATTTTCATATATTTCTTCGGCATCTGTGTTTAGCTAGTTTAAATCTATGACCTCTTGTTCTTGAAGTGCCAGGTCTCAGGAAATCTTCCCTGTCGATTTTATCAATTCCTGTTACTATTTTGTATGTAGTGATCATATCACCTCTTTTTCTTCTGTCTTCTAGTTTTGGCATGTTTAATGCTTCTAACCTCTCCTCGTAGCTCTTACCCTTCAGTTCTGGGAGCCACTTAGTAGCATGTCTTTGCACCTTTTCCAGTTTGTTGATGTGCTTCTTAAGATATGGGCACCACACAACAGCTGCATATTCTAGCTTTGGCCTAACAAAAGTCATGAACAATTTCTTTAGTATATCGCCATCCATGTATTTAAATGCAATTCTGAAGTTAGAAAGCATAGCATAGGCTCCTTGCACAATATTCTTTATGTGGTCCTCAGGTGATAGTTTTCTATCTAGAACCACCCCTAAATCTCTTTCTTTATCAGAATTCTTTAAAGATTTCTCACATAATATATAGGTTGTGTGGGGTCTATGTTCTCCTATTCCACATTCCATAACATGACATTTATTAACATTAAATTCCATTTGCTGAGTGGTGCTCCATCTACTTATTTTGTCCAGGTCTTCTTGAAGGGCATGACAATCATCTAAATTTCTTATCCCTCCTATTATCTTAGCATCATCAGCAAACATGTTCATATAATTCTGTATACCAACTGGTAGATCATTTATGTACACAATAAACATCACTGGTGCAAGAACTGAACCCTGTGGTACTCCACTTGTGACATTTCTCCATTCCGATACATTGCCTCTGATTACTGCCCTCATTTTTCTATCAGTCAGAAAATTTTTCATCCATGATAGAAGCTTACCTGTCACCCCTCCAATATTTTCCAGTTTCCAGAACAACCTCTTATGTGGAACTCTGTCGAAAGCCTTTTTTAGGTGCAGATAGATGCAGTCAACCCAACCATCTCTTTCCTGTAATATCTCTGTGGCTCGATCATAGAAACTGAGTAAATTCGATACACAGGATCTTCCAGATCGAAAACCGAACTGTCTGTCTGATATTATATCATTTCTCTCTAGGTGTTCTACCCATTTAGTTTTGATTAGTTTTTCCAATACTTTCACTATTACACTTGTCAATGATACAGGTCTATAATTGAGGGGGTCTTCCCTGCTGCCACTTTTGTAGATTGGAACTATGTTAGCCTGTTTCCACACGTCTGCTACGATTCCTGTACACAGGGTGTACTGTGGTACGCCACTTGTGACATTTCTCCAGTCTGATACATTGCCTCTGATTACTGCCCTCATTTTTCTATCAGTTAGAAAATTTGTCATCCATGTTAGAAGTTTACCTGTCACCCCTCCAGTATGTTCCAGTTTCCAGAATAGTCAACCCAACCATCTCTTTCCTGTAAAATCTCTGTGGCTCAATCATAAAAACTGAATAAATTTGTTACACAGGATCTTCCAGATCGAAAATCATACTGTCTGATATTATATCGTTTTTCTCCAGGTGTTCTACCCATTTAATTTTAATTACTTTTTCCAGTATTTTGACTATTATACTTGTCAATGATACAGGTCTATAATTGAGGGGGGTCTTCCCTGCTGCCACTTTTGTATAGTGGAACTATGTCAGCCTTTTTCCACGCATCAGCTACAATGCCTGTACACAGGGATGCCTGAAAAATCATTTAATATGTAATGCTGAGCTCAGGTGCACATTCCCTCAGAACCCATGGTGAAACTTCATCTGGACCAACTGCTTTGTTCTTACTTAGCTCCTTTAGCATTTTTTCCACTTCGTCTCTAGACATCTCTATGTGCTCTATGTTGTTCTCTGGAATTCTAATTGTGTCTAGTTCCCTGAAGATTTCATTTTGTACAAACACACTTTGGAACTTTTCGTTTAATGTTTCCCACATTTCCTTTTCATTTTCTGTGAATCTGTTTCCCATTTTCAACCTCTGAGTATTATCCTTTACCTGCAATTTGTTGTTAATGAATTTAGAGAAGAGGCCTGGTTTAGTTTTACATTTGTCAGCAATCTCTTTTCAAAATTTCTTTCTGCCTCTCTCCTCACTGCCGTGTAGTTGTTTCTCGCATCTATGTATCGCTGGTATGTTTGGGGGTTTGGCCTCTTCCTATATTGATTCCATTTTTGTGACTTTTGGTCTCTGGCCCTCTCGCAATTTCCGTTGAACCAATCCTGTTTCCTAGTTCTGCATCTCTGTTTTGGTATAAATTTTGTTGTGCCTTTATCATATATTTCATAAAATATGACATTTACTTCATATCCTAATAGCAAGTCTTTCCAGTCAAATTCCATAAAGAAATGTCCGCATTCCCCATAATGACCTCCCCTGAAATCAGGTTTTTCAAATGCTTCAACCTCATTTTCTTCCAGATTATAACACATTGCAAACTTTATTCCCAAAAAGACATGGTCACTTTTACCCAAGGGAGGAAGGTACTGAATGTCAAATATCTCTTCCTCTTTCCTGGTAAATATCAAATCCAGCATGGAGGGAACATCCCCTTCCCTCATCCTCGTAGCTTGTTTAACATGTTGAAACATGAATTTTAATGTTTCCAGGATGAGGTTTACGAATCTACAAGTCCAAAAATCCTCTGTTCTAGCTTCATATGCCTCCCAGTCTATGGATTTCAAGTTGAAGTTGCCGACTACCAACAGTCATGATCTATCTTTATCAGCTCTCACTACAATCTCTCTCATTATTGTTATAAGACCCCTCTCGTTTATTATCTAGCTCCTCCTTTGTCCATGTGTTGCTTGGCGGTGGACTATATGCATTTATGATCATTAATTTATCATCCTGATTGCAGATCTCTAGTGCTATTATGTCAACTTCTCGTGGATTGGCAATCATTATTTCATTTACCTTTAGGTGTTCTTTCACCAGCACAGCAACGCCACTGCCTTTCCTAATTTTTCTGTCCCGTCTCCAGACTGAGTAGCCTCCTTGGGAATATGACCTCATTTAAAATATCATCTTCAAGTTTAGTCTCTGTGAGTGCAACAATGTCTGGTGTCTGCAGCTGTATTACATCACTTAACTCCAGTATCTTTGATCTCACTCCATCTATGTTGGTGTATGCAATTTTCAGGAACATGTTTCCTCTCCTTATTCTTCACTACCCCTTTCTCTAGTGATTTTGTTGGTTTGCCTTTTTGTACCATTTTACTGGTCTGCCTACCCCTATCACTTTGTAGAAAAAATTATTTTCTTCTTCTTTCCTGCTCTCATTTAAACGTTCTGCCTCTACGAGGTTCAGTTTCAGCTCTTCTCTGTCGTCTTTTGAAAGATCTCATTTTAACGACCATACTTTCCCTTCCTCATCACTTTGTAATTTTCTAGCATTCCTTAGTACTTCTTCCATCTGTTTGGCACCGTTCAGGGTAATCCTCAAAGGTCGATCTTTCCCTTTTACATACTTTCCAATCCTCCTGTAGTCGCAGACATTCTCGATGGTAGTAAGACCTTCCACGAGATCAACAATTTTATCTACTACTTTCTATTCTTCTACAGCTCTTTCTGACCTAGATGTTATCTTCTTTTCTTTGCAACCAAAAATTATCTGAGACTTACTTCGATCAACTGTGTTTTGCACCAATTTAGGATTTGATGCTTTCTGACTTCCTGCCTAATGTTTGTTTTATCCTGGTTGCTACAGTGTTTGGCTTCCTTTACTGCTTCTTCTGTGTGTGTGTGTTTTACCTAAGTGTAGTTACAGGATGAGAGCTACACTCGTGGTGTCCTGTCTTCCCAGCACTCTTTGCAATATAATGCTTTGAAACTACTGATGGTCTTAGCCTCCACCACCTTCTCACCTAACTTGTTCCATCCGTCTGCCACTCTGTTTGTGAAAGCGAATTTTCTCATATTTCTTCAGCATCTGTGTTTAGTTTAAATCTATGACCTCTTGTTCTTGAAGTTCCAGGTCTCAGGAAATCCTCCCTGTTGATTTTATCAATTCCTGTTACTATTTTGTACGTAGTGATCATATCACCCCTTTTTCTTCTGTTGTCTAGTTTTGGCATATTTAATGCTCTAACCTCTCTTTGTAGCTCTTGTCCTTCAGTTCTGGGAACCACTTTGTGGCATGTCTTTGCACCTTAGTGAATATACATTTCTATGGCACTATTGTAGGATAACTTGATAATTATATAATGTAATTTCAGCATGAAATAAATTCACAATACATTACTGTAGCCCATATCCAAGTTCTTGAGACTTTATTATGCAATTACAAGCATACTAGCTGCAAAGTGGCATCATCTGAGTTAACTCATGATATTATTTGAATTATTGAAGGTAATTACTCACCCATATAAAAATTATCTTCATCAGGATCATTGAGGACTTCAACCAGCTTGACAACATTGTGATGGTTGAGCTTCTTCAATATGGCTATCTCCCTGTGTACACGGTCAAGGGGATTTTCAATTGGTCGTCCTCCTAGTGATGCTCTGGGAGGTGGCAGCCGTCCCTTAACTGTGGAGAGAATTTTAGTAACATCAGAAAGCTTCCAATTCAAAACTGAATCATTGTTCAATTCCTGTTCAATTTATACCAACTAATCATAAACAAATTCAGAAAAGGAAACACACACAAAGACTGCCAATTAAGGCAGTAATCTTCAAAACTGTCCAGACTGAAAAGAAGGCCAATGTAACAAGGTGCAGGTACTGTATTTGGGTGTAAAATAATTCACGAAGAAAAATTTTGGAAAATAAAAACACAGAATTTCTCCAAACTATATACAAGAAAACTTAACCAGCTAGGCAAACATCCAGGTGGTGGTCAAATTTGTTTACAATAGAACAGCTAGCTCATTCCATAGATGTGTCTGCATCCTTGAGGTGGGGAGGTGACCTGCTGAGGATGTGTGAAGATGCAGAAGGATGCAGAGATAAGAATTAAAAGTGTAAATAGAAGATAAACATCTCTACACTGATATAAAACAGCAGTAACATGTCTGTGAGCAAAACTATAAAGGAAAAAAGCAAATAATAAGCAGGCAAGCCTAATGCAAGAACTGCGGGTCATGGTGAAAATGAGAACAAGATGCAATAAAAAAAAAATCAGCCTCACAACAAGAGCTGGAAAGTCACAATGAAAAATTAAGTTTGGAATCAATAGAGTGTTCCAACCTACCTGAGATTCGTACATGCTGGAAGTGACTATCAGGCCTAGCCAGACCATGGCTCACAAAGTGCAGCTTTTGAACAAATATTTGTCAAACTTGCCTTTCACATCCACACTTCCCATGATTGGTACAGGCAGTTAATAGGGCTACAGACTCGTCCTGATCAGGGATGTGACAACACACCCTGATCACTACCCAACAATGAAATGTGACTCGAGATGAGTTGCATAGACTGCTCAGATATACATGTTCTCTACCACACAGCTCAAAATACAGACATCCTCATATTGTAAGAAGCAGAAGTACTGGTACAGGTACTTTTTGTAAATAAAATTTGAATGCTTAATGAATGAAGTTTCATGCAAGATTGAGATGAGAATTTTACATTTTGATTTAAAGGAAGACTTTTGCAGGTTGCATCCTGGGAACGGTCAGTCGTCGACCCAAGACCAGAAACACGTATTGTACATACCAGTACGTTTAAATAAATAACATCAATTTAATATGGTAATACTATATATAATAACATGTGTTTAATAATAATAATAACAACATAATAATGATATGTAAATGTTGTGCAGATCTTGAACCTCTGTAGTTTATGTAGTTGGAGCTAATTTGGAACACTATACTGACTGTAATTACCTAAGTGTAGTTACATAATGAGACCTATGCTCATGGTAAGGAGAGAAGAAATTTAGTTTAAAAGGGAATGTTAGAAAAGACCAAGTTGAGCCTAAATTACTACTGTATTTAAATTTAGAAAACCAAACAATATAAAAGACAAAATTTAGAGCAAGCTATCTGCAAAGTGGATAACAACTTTTGCTACAACATTGTTGAATATTTTTTAAACGTGGTTGACAAACTTGCAATAACCAAATTATAGTTATTAATAACTATATTATATAATAATCTACATAAATAAAAATGGAAATGTTCGTTTGTTCAAAATCGCTAATCTCCGAAAGTTCTTCACTGATTGCTTTGAAATTTTGACACACCGTTCCATTTGTATACGAGCGTGACTTTATATACGTACTAAATAGATGTCACGTCTGTGACAGGTAAAAACAATTTTTTTTTTTAAACTGTGTTTTTCATGTGAGGGTAATCTCCAAAACCTCTTTACTGATTGCTTTGAAATTTTGACACAATGTTGTATTTGAATACGCGCGTGTTTTTATATGCCACACCTGTGACAGGTAAAAACATGCTTTTTTTTTTTTTAAATATAGTGCCATCTGTTGCATGTAAAAGCAACACACGCTATACTAAATATGTTACGATTTCATTTCAATGTTTCCAATTTCATTGGTAAATTGAATTTTCATATATTTCGATTTATTTTAATTTTGATTTAATTATTTTGTGTAACATTGCATTGGAATTGACCTGTGTTGTTTACCACACCATTCATTTTGTGAGTATAATTTATTTTTTTATTTTTTCATTGTTTTTTTTTTTTTTTTTTAACTCTTCTTATTTTTCTGTGATGGGAACATCAGATCATTTAATGTTCCCATTTTTCTGATGGGAACATCAGATCATTTAGGAACGCATCGGACAAGGGAGTGGGGAATGGTGGGGAGGACGAGGGGACGGGAGTGAGGGATGGTGGGGAGGACGAGGGAATGGGGGAGGGGGTAATGGTGGGGAGGACAAGGGGACGGGGGAGTGGAGAATAGTGGGGAGGACGGGAGGGAGGGGGAAATGGTGGGGGGGGGGGACAGGGGAGTGGGGAATGGTTAGGAGGACACGGGGATGGGGGGGGGAATGGTGGGGAGGATGGGGGGACAGTGGAGGGTTGCTGAGGCTCAGCAACGCATGACTGGGTACAGCTAGTAATATATAATTATTGCAATAATTAGAGGAAAAAGCTTAGGTAATACAAATTTAATAGTAAGACCAGATATCACCTTGGATACTAAAGGTATGAACAGAAGGATTTACTTAGCTATACCCATTTTAGACAATTTTCAGGGCATTTCACAAAGTTCTTGTAGTACAATGGTCAGAGCAGTGCCATCAATATATAGTACTGTTTGTGTGATAAATGTCAGGTGCTTAGGCATGGTAGAATTTGAGAACTTAAAAAAAAAGTAAAAAATTGGAACGCTGGAAGCCGATTAATATATGTACTCACCTAGCTGTGAAGTACTGTTTAAATATTTGAGAAAAATCTGTATTGAGCTCTTGAAGGATTACAAACTTAACTCACGTGAGCAAGTCCTGGATTTTGAAGGACTAAGTCCTACAAAATCAGTAATACCTGGTCTGTTAAATAATACCTTATTTGCAATAGCTATTCTGTAAAGTAACATTATGACTTAAAAATAAAACCACTTGTAATAATAGAAACTTATTTTCCATATTTGTATATTGCCAGTGTGACTCTGCCGTAGAGAGGGACGTGTGTTCCCGTCCAATTACTCTAAGGACTTTTATAGGGCAGATTCTAAATTACCTTTTTTTCTTATGCAGTAAAGGTCGGGGTTCGATGGTTTGTACAACATTACACGGCTTCGATGCTCGTAACCATACAGCCCATGGTAATGCATTTACCATCTTTGTTACCAAAACACAAAATCTCTACCAAGCACAATACTTCTCTACTCACTATAGACACAAGACAATTCAAGTCATACAAATGATGCTTGTAATAAGTAATATTCATATAAAAATAAATGTATAGTGGGGTCCGTCTAATTACCACAAGCTACACAAGCTTCACAAAGCTTCCTGGCAATACGTTAGTAATGAATAAATATGATAGGTTAGGTTGACCTGACCTGACCTGACCTGACCTGACCTGACCTGACCTGACCTGACCTGACCTGACCTGACCAAACCTAACCTAACCTAACCAACGCTTGGATCGGCGACTTGATTTGGCGTCACCAGCTCTTTATTTTTGTCAAATTTCTTTATAAAAAGATACTTTTTCAGATTAAAATTATGTTTTTTCGTGTTGTACATTCAGCACCAACATTATAATGAGTAAATATATCATATTTATTCATTACTAACGTATTGCCAGGAAGTTTTCTGAAGTGTGTGTAGCTTGTGGTAATTAGACGGACCGGAAAAAAATGGTCGATTGGACCGTCGACTTCCTTTGGCATCATCAGCAGCTCATTTTCGTCTAATTTCGTTATAAAATGATACTTTTTCAGAGTAAAAATATATTTTTCATGTTCTACATTCAGCACCAACATTATAATGAATAAATATATCATATTTATTCATTACTAATGTAATGCTAGGAAGCTTTGTGTAGCTTTGAGTAAGTTTGGGTAGCTATGGGTAATTAGGCGGACCCGATGTACTGGGCCGACCCGCGGTCACTCTCTTGAACTCTGACCTGTAGTCCTGTACACTCTACACAGGTCTATCGTGCTTGCTTCCCTCCTCCTTCCCTCCTCCTTCCCACCTTCCTCTCCACCTTTCCTATTCTCTTACACGAAGGAAAATCTCCACCCGGATCCCAACCTTCGCCATCTTGCATGGTGCAGAAATCTATAATTCACAATAATTTATAATTCACTGTGTCAGGGGACAGGAAGCCAGAGTGTATTCATACACATCTGGCTTTTATTGAGGTCTCTAGCTACCCCCCCCCCCTCAAGGTTGAATTACTGACCCCACCCAGGATGTAATTAACCCTATAACAAGCTGACTAATTCTTGAATACTACTCACTGATAGGTGAACAGAGGCCAATAGGCCTTCTGCTGTTGTTGTTGTTATAGAAGATTCAGCTACTCGGAACAAGTTCCAAGTAGCACCGGCTATGGTGAGCCCGTTGTGGACTTACCTGGCACAGGACCTGGCAGTTGCCTTCATTCTTATGTTCCATTGGAAAATATTAACAGTTTGATGGTTGCTTATCTAAATGTTACCTACACTGGCAAATATATTTACTATCGTGTTAAAGCATATTTAACACGCTTCTACACTTTTTAATTCATTCACGTTAAAAAAAAATACACATTGCAAGTTTTAGCAAACGCTCTCATTCCAAGCTGAACATTTCCTACACCATTTATTAAGAAAAGTTTACTGTACCAACAAAGTTTTCGCCCGTTCCCATAAATATATTTCAGCCCTTAAAAACTTAGAAATACTATTCAACGCTACTATAAACTACTTTCTAAACTACTAGAAAATAGATTCCAATAAACAGGAGGAATGTTGGAACGCTCATGTGCCCAATAGGTTCTAACACTTATGTGCTCTGTTTACTATATTTAAATGTGATTTTTGGTCTGTGATTTATGGATTTCTACTCCCTGGATTTAGGGTCCCTTGAGGGACTTTAAGGAGGGGGGGGGAGGGAGTAGAAAGAGCCTAAGCTACTCTATCTTTTTGAGATGTACATCAGTTTCCTCAATAAACTTACTTGAAGTTGAAGGATCAGGAGTTCGACCTTGGGGGGGGGGGGCGGGAGGGAGCCTCGATACAAGCCTTGATAGAAGTATATATATATATATTCAGTTGAACAAATCCACAAGGGCCGTGACGAGGATTCGAACCTGCATCCGGAAGCATCCCAGACACTGCCTTAATCGACTGAGCTAAGTACGGCCTAAGTACAGTATATATTCAGTATACACACACACACACACACGCTTCCTGTCCCTCACAACGGTAATTATCACACACACACACACAGAGGGATACTCAGAGTGGACATAGACGAAATGTTCACACGGAATAGTAACAGAACGAGGGGACATGGATGGAAGCTTGAAACTCAGATGAGTCACAGAGATGTTAGGAAGTTTTCTTTTAGCGTGAGAGTAGTGGGAAAATGGAATGCACTTCAGGAACAGGTTGTGGAAGCAAATACTATTTATAATTTTAAAACCAGGTATGATAGGGAAATGGGACAGGAGTCATTACTGTAAACAACCGATGCTCGAAAGGCGGAATCCAAGAGTCAATGCTCGATCCTGCAGACACAACTAGGTGAGTACTAGGCGAGTACACACACACACACACACACACACACACGGGGACACAGGTGGAAGCTGAGTGCCCAAATGAGTCACAGAGATATTAGAAAGAACTTTTTTAGTGTCAGAGTGGTTGACAAATGGAATGCTTTAGGAAGTGTTGTCGTGGAGGCTGACTCCATACACAGTTTCAAGTGTAGATATGACAGATCCCAGTAGGCTCAAAGAACCTGTACACCAGTTAATTGACAGTCGAGAAGCGGGACCAAAGAGCCAAAGCTCAACCCCCCGCAAGCAAAAATAGCTGAGTACACACACATTCAAAACCAAAGTGGTCACTTTTGACAGGTTTTTCTACCGTGACTTAACCGGCAAGTCTGATTGATTGGTGCCATCGCCTCACCCCACCACCAGATCTGCTCTACCAGACAACATGTTCTTTCCAATACTAAATAATAACTGGCAGAAGACCCATTAGGTGAGGTGGTGAAGGCGTCCAAGCTGCTCAGGTCTGCCCAGACGAGGGTCGTGACGGAGCAAGAGGCTGTCAACAATTAAGACTTATCTTGAAGGTTATCTCGCGTTATGTTATTGATTGACGAAGACTTACCTCTTGACGGGGGCGGGGAGGAGCTAGCCAGGAAGTGTGGGCTGAGGGAACGAGCGTGGGTCGCAGCTTCCGTCTCCGCTCCTATGGTCCAGGCTCGACCTGTCCGCCATGCACACATCAACACACAAGGACCAACATAAAATAAGAAAATAAAAGTGTAAAAATAAAAATGAGGTGAGAATGTACATGCTGGATGCTATATATATATATATATAATTAAGAGACATGCAATGGTGGAACACAGGAGACCTCGGGGCAGGTGTGGGTGACCACAGCCCACCTCGGGGCAGGTGTGAGTGACCACAGCCCACCTCGGGGCAGGTGTGGGTGACCACAGCCCACCTCGGGGCAGGTGTGGGTGACCACAGCCCACCTCGGGGCAGGTGTGGGTGACCACAGCCCACCTCGGGGCAGGTGTGGGTGACCACAGCCCACCTCGGGGCAGGTGTGGGTGACCACAGCCCACCTCGGGGCAGGTGTGGGGTGGGGGAAGGGAGGCTGGGAATCGGTATAAATAGTGCTCGAGGCATCCAGGGGGAGAGGCAACACAGACTGATAAACACTAAGCCACCCCCCAAGAGTTGGCACGGGCATGAATAACCCGTAAGGGGCAACAGAAGCGGGTCATATATTATCATGCAAGATGGTGGAACTGTAGCGAGTAGATTATCCAATAATATACTCGCTCTATCACGATCCACGTAACAATAGAACCGTTACAGAACAATCCCCCCTCCCCCCACCCCCCCCCCCTAGCCCAAACTCTCCCAACCCCACTTCCTGCATCACCACACTTTATCACAAAACGCAAGACAAATGGGACGGGGGGACCTTTGACAAGCCGCCAGCTTCCTGTCCTCGTCGAGGCCACCAGAATGCTAGTGGCCCTCGGGTAAACAAAACAATTTCACCCACCCTACCGAACTAAAAATTTCCGGTATATTTGGTCATTCAGCCTCTGATGTCAGTCATATGATGCCCGTGACTTCACTCACCACTAATGATGGACGTCTCCGTTACTTAACATAAGGTGGCACTACAGTTCATTGTACATTATCTAGAACAAATACAATAATTAATGGCTAACTTTCGTAAACTCAGCTATTTCCGATTTACGATTTTTTTTATATAACCCGCTTAGGTATGCGCAGCAATGTGCGGCTGCCATATTCTATCTATGTCTATCGTGGATAGATATGGCGTCTATCTATGAGTTCATCTAATATCCCCATTTTCTAGGATAGTCATACGTGATATCGAGAGAGAACGTGAGATACGAGACTAATCTATTAATGAGCCGGGCATTTTGCAATCTCCAGGTAAATCACAATAATATCTACACTACACAATAATAACTCCCAATATACCTGAGTGTATGTTGCGGTTACAGAGCACAAAGTAACCTATATACCATTTGGTCTGAAATCATTAATAACAAGGCAATTTTTGAGATTGTGGTAAGTGTATGTCCCAGCTCTTGTTCACACAGCTTATAATTGGAATGTTTGCCATTGGGGAACTGATGTCTGGGGTACAAGTGATAGAATGAGCAGCCCAGCGGGTTTTCTTCCTATTGGGGAGTGTTGTACATGCTACTATGGCGGTGTGTCCACTCACAGGATGAGTGACGTTGTCCAATACTGTCACTATGGCGGTGTGTCCACTCACAGGATGAGTGACGCTGCCCAATACTGTCACTATGGCGGTGTGTCCACTCACAGGATGAGTGACGCTGCCCAATACTGTCACTATGGCGGTGTGTCCACTCACAGGATGAGTGACGCTGCCCAATACTGTCACTATGGCGGTGTGTCCACTCACAGGATGGGTGACGCTGCCCAATACTGTCACTATGGCGGTGTGTCCACTCACAGGATGAGTGACGCTGCCCAATACTGTCACTATGGCGGTGTGTCCACTCACAGGATGGGTGACGCTGCCCAATACTGTCACTATGGCGGTGTGTCCACTCACAGGATGAGTGACGCTGCCCAATACTGTCACTATGGCAGTGTGTCCACTCACAGGATGAGTGACGCTGCCCAATACTGTCACTATGGCGGTGTGTCCACTCACAGGATGAGTGACGCTGCCCAATACTGTCACTATGGCGGTGTGTCCACTCACAGGATGAGTGGCGCTGCCCAATACTGTCACTATGGCGGTGTGTCCACTCACAGGATGAGTGACGCTGCCCAATACTGTTATTATGGTGGTGTGTCCACTCACAGGATGAGTGACGCTGCCCAATACTGTCACTATGGCGGTGTGTCCACTCACAAAATGAGTGGCGCTGCCCAATATTGCCACTATGGCGGTGTGTCCACTGACAGGATGAGTGGCGCTGCCCAATATTGTCACTATAGCGGTGTGTCCACTCACAGGATGTGTGACGCTGCCCAATACTGTCACTATGGCGGTGTGTCCACTCACAGGATGGGTGGCGCTGCCCAATACTGTCACTATGGCGGTGTGTCCACTCACAGGATGAGTAGCGCTGCCCAATACTGTCACTATGGCGGTGTGTCCACTCACAGGATGGGTGGCGCTGCCCAATACTGTCACTATGGCGGTGTGTCCACTCACAGGATGAGTGGCGCTGCCCAATACTGTCACTATGGCGGTGTGTCCACTCACAGGATGAGTGGTGCTGCCCAATACTGTCTCTATGGCGGTGTGTCCACTCACAGGATGAGTGACGCTGCCCAATACTGTCACTATGGCGGTGTGTCCACTCACAGGATGAGTGACGCTGCCCAATACTGTCACTATGGCGGTGTGTCCACTCACAGGATGAGTGACGCTGCCCAATACTGTCACTATGGCGGTGTGTCCACTCACAGGATGGGTGGCGCTGCCCAATACTGTCACTATGGCGGTGTGTCCACTCACAGGATGAGTGGCGCTGCCCAATACTGTCACTATGGCGGTGTGTCCACTCACAACGGAGGGACCCTGGGTTCAATCCCCAACAGGCAGAACAGAAACGGTTGGGCATGTGTCCTTTTTTTACCTGATGCCCCTGTTCACCTAGCAGTGAAATAGGTAGCTGAGAGTTAGGCCTAAGTACAGCTTTTTTTGTTTTAGCTGTTGTTGTTAAGGATTCACTATCTGGAACAAAAAGTTCCAAGTAGCACGGGCTATGGCGAGCCCGAAGTGGACTTTTGTTTTAGCTATTGTTTACCTTTCCATTCTGTTTTCTGAGGTTGTAAAATTGAGTTAACTGTGTGAAACAAATGTGTGTCGTCAGAGGTGGGGGGGGGGGTTGTAAAGACCTACCTAAACCTTACCCAACCTAATCCAACCGAGCCCAACACAGCCTAATCCAACCGAGCCCAACACAGCCTAATCCAACCGAGCCCAACACAGCCTAATCCAACCGAGCCCAACACAGCCTAATCCAACCGAGCCCAACACAGCCTAATCCAACCGAGCCCAACACAGCCTAATCCAACCGAGCCCAACACAGCCTAAAATAATCAAAATACTTATCAGACGACTACATATGCCGTTTGAAAACAGAAAACGGCCTATTGTCGAAACGTCAGTGTTTACGATTTTTAACATGTTGTTCCATTCAAAAACGTGAATTTCCTCAAATATAAATTAATATTATAATATATGAGCATATTGTGGATATATAGGCATAGGTTAGGTTAGGTGTTTATAGGTTCTGTTGGCGATTATTTGTATTTGTAGTCCGTGGGTGATGCATTTACAGCGTTGTGATTCGAACAACAGTCGTCAGTGAAGCACTTGTTCCGGATTTGTTCGAACGTCAGCAGTTGTGAGTCGTGTGTAAACCGTTTTTCATTCATAAACAGCGGGTTTGGCGGGTGCATGGAATCACTTTTGGATCTTTGTTTGGAGGACGGGTTGCACAGCTGATGACGTTCGAACACTTCCGGAACAAGTGCTTCACTGACGACTGGTGTTCGAACCCCAACGCTGTAAATGCTTCATCCACGGACTACAAATACAAATAATCGCCAACAGAACCTATAAACACCTAACCTAACCTATGTCTATATATGCACAATACAATAATATTAATTTATATTTGAGAAAATTCCTGTTTTGAAATAACACCATGTAAAAGTTTATGAATGAGTCTGTGGGGGTCGACCGCTGGATGGAATGGACTTGAGTCGAGGACGGATTGGAGGCTTGAGCGCCCCCCCCCCCTGCTGTCACCCGGCACAGTGCGGGGAGCCTATAGGCACTTAGTGACTGTGTACTGTGACTTCTACAGGTCACAGAATGAACATAATGCCTCTCCTACCACCAAAAAAAAAAACACGTTTGACGCCTTTAAATAATAATCTAGATACACATTCTTATAGACGACCATATATACACACATGTACACAGGTAGTACACATGTGTGGTACACAGGTAGTACACATGTGTGGTACACAGGTAGTACACATGTGTGGTACACAGGTAGTACACATGTGTGGTACACAGGTAGTACACATGTGTGGTACACAGGTAGTACACATGTGTGGTACACAGGTAGTACACATGTGTGGTACACAGGTAGTACACAGGTAGTACACATGTGTGGTACACAGGTAGTACACATGTGTGGTACACAGGTAGTACACATGTGTGGTACACAGGTAGTACACATGTGTGGTACACAGGTGTCGCAACACCTGCGATACTTACCGAAACACCCGTGTTTCTTCATCAGCTTCTTCTTGGAGAGGATCTTCATGGCCTGTCGAGAGAGATAATACATGTTAATGACAGCCAGGTGGTGCTGATAGACACGAGAATGACAGCCAGGTGGTGCTGATAGACACGAGAATGACAGCCAGGTGGTGCTGATAGACATAGTCACACAAAAGAACTATCTAAACAGGAGGATGGGTTTATATATATATATATATATATATATATACATGTACTGTATATATATATATATATATATATATATATATATATATATATATATATATATATATATATATATATATATATATATATATATATATAAACTGGCTGCCTGTCCCCCCGACACAATGAATTATTAATTATGAATGATGCGTTGTACAGTAATGTGGAGATTACACTACATGAGACCAGGAGGCATGGCAGGATGTGCAGAATACCCCCGTTGAAAAGCAGAGGTGCAACAGGTACTCTGAGAGAGAACTCTATCAACATCAGAGGCCCGAGACTGTTCAACACGCTTCCACTACACATAAGGGGCATAACTGGCCGACCCCTCACAGTGTTCAAGAGAGAACTATCAACATCAGAGGCCCGAGACTGTTCAACACGCTTCCACTACACATAAGGGGCATAACTGGCCGACCCCTCACAGTGTTCAAGAGAGAACTATCAACATCAGAGGCCCGAGACTGTTCAACACGCTTCCACTACACATAAGGGGCATAACTGGCCGACCCCTCACAGTGTTCAAGAGAGAACTGGATAAACACCTCCAAAAGATACCTGATCAACCAGGCTGTGACTCATACGTCAGGCTGCGAGCAGCCGCGTCCAACAGCCTGGTTGATCAGACAACCAACCAGGAGGCCTGGTCGGAGACCGAGCCGCAGGGACTTTCATCCCCGACACCTCCACAAGTCACACAGATGGGTCGCTACGTCACACAGATGGGTCGCTACGTCACACAGATGGGTCGCTACGTCACACAGATGGGTCGCTACGTCACACAGATGGGTCGCTACGTCACACAGATGGGTCGCTACGTCACACAGATGGGTCGCTACGTCACACAGATGGGTCGCTACGTCACACAGATGGGTCGCTACGTCACACAGATGCGTCGCTACGCCACACAGATGCGTCGCTACGCCACACAGATGCGTCGCTACGCCACACAGATGCGTCGCTACGCCACACAGATGCGTCGTTACGCCACACAGATGCGTCGCTACGCCACACAGATGCGTCGCTACGCCACACAGATGCGTCGCTACGCCACACAGATGCGTCGCTACGCCACACAGATGCGTCGCTACGCCACACAGATGCGCTGCTACGTCACACAGATGTATTGGCACGTTTCACAAATTAAATAAAGGAACTCTAGGGAAGTAAACTCAGATTTACCTCCTTGAGTGAAATTATTTTCAGGACCGCTGAAAAATACATACACAAACTCCTTCAGTGACATGTTTAAAAGAAAAATACTACCAACATACACACACAAATACACACACACACATATTGTGGTGGATCTCGTATAGTGTGGAGGCTGGTGTATATTGCGTACTGTGGAGAACAGTATGGTGTATACTGTTGAGAATGGTGTATGTGTATTGTGCGGCCTGTTGTGTGTACTGTGGCATAGGGTGTCACCTCCCAGTACTCACATAGTGGGTGTCGTCCTCCTCGTTGTAGGCCAGCTTCACAATACCATACGACCCCTGGAAAGATACAACAGTTTACCTTAAAAACCTCCTCACAGCGTCACAGTTTTCTATGAAGCCCCGTCTCCGAGGCTACGCCAAATTAGCAACTATGTTATTCCATCTATCGTCAAACTATTATGCAAGACGAGCAGCATATCAAAAAGGTTCATGCAATGACATCAACAAACTCCTAGGAGTTAACTCTGTCAGCAGAACTATTTATATATCTTACGTGAGTGAATGTAAACACATTCAGAATTCAGAGACGACTCAAATTCAAATTTCAAATTCAAATGTTTATTTAGGTATACTACTCCTATTACAAGTGTTCAGGAAATGTGTAAATACTTCATTCATGTTGCTGTAGTGCCAGAAAGGTTATAGCAATATATTCAAAGGTTGCATATGTTCATGAGTTTAAGCTTTCTACAGCCGCCCACAGGATGGGTATGGGGTCCACTACCACCCGCAGGATGGGCATGGAGGTCCACTACCACCCATAAGATACCCATGGGCTCCCCCCTGACCATGGGGCACCCCCCCCCCTCCACCCTGACCCACATGGGCGGGCACATTGTTAAAGGTGTATATATAATGAAAGGCAAATATTGCGCCACAACATCCAGCCCTAACTAACAACTAATATATATATATATATATATATATATATATATATATATATATATATATATATATATATATATATATATATATATATATATATATATATATATATATATATATATATATATTGTACCTAGTAGCCAGAACGCAGTACTCGGCCTACTATGCAAGGCCCGATTTGCTTAATAAGCCAAGTTTTCCTGCATATATATGTTTTCTAATTTTTTTATGAAATGATAAAGCTATTCATTTCATTATGTATGAGTTAATTTGTTTACATTTGAGTTAAAACTAACGTAGATATATGACCTAACCTAACCATCCCTACCTAACCTAACCAACCCTACCCTACCCTACCTAACCTAACCTAACCAACCCTACCTAACCTAACCTAACTAACCCTACCTAACCTAACCTAACCAACCCTACCCTACCCTACCTAACCTAACCTAACCAACCCTACCTAACCTAACTTAACCAACCCTACCTAACCTAACCTAACCAACCCTACCTAACCTAACTAACCCTACCTAACCTAACTTAACCAACCCTACCTAACCTAACCTAACCAACCCTACCCAACCTAACCTAACCTAACCAACCCTACCTAACCTAACTTAACCAACCCTACCTAACCCAACCTAACCAACCCTACCCTACGCTACCTAACCTAACCTAACCAACCCTACCTAACCTAACTTAACCAACCTTACCTAACCTAACCTAATCAACCCTACCCTACCTAACCTAACCAACCCTACCTAACCTAACTTAACCAACCCTACCTAACCTAACCTAACCTAACCAACCCTACCCTACCTAACCTAACCAACCCTACCTAACCTAACTTAGCCAACCCTACCTAACCTAACCTAACCAACCCTACCCTACCCTACCTAACCTAACCAACCCTCCCTAACCTAACTTAACCAACCCTACCTAACCTAACCTAACCAACCCTACCCTACCCTACCTAACCTAACCTAACCAACCCTACCTAACCTAACTTAACCAACCCTACCTAACCTAACCAACCCTACCAAACCCTACCTAACCTAACCAACCCTACCTAACCTAACTTAACCAACCCTACCTAACCCAACCTAACCAACCCTACCAAACCTAACTCAACTAAGTCAATAATTTATGTTCTTAATATAATATAGTAACAATTATTCAAATAAACTAACTGCAAACAATTTATTGAAAATGAAGAAAATCACTCGGCCTATTAGGCAACCCGGGCGTTGCATAGTGGGGGACGGCAGCGGGTGGGGGACGGCAGCGGGTGGGGGGACGGCAGCGGATGGGGGAACGGCAGCGGGTGGGGGGAACGGCAGCGGGTGGGGGGGACGGCAGCGGGTGGGGGACGGCAGCGGGTGGGGGGAACGGCAGCGGGTGGGGGGAACGGCAGCGGGTGGGGGGAACGGCAGCGGGTGGGGGGAACGGCAGCGGGTGGGGGGAACGGCAGCGGATAGGGGGAACGGCAGCGGGTGGGGGGAACGGCAGCGGGTGGGGGGGACGGCAGCGGGTGGGGGGAACGGCAGCGGGTGGGGGGAACGGCAGCGGGTGGGGGGAACGGCAGCGGGTGGGGGGGACGGCAGCGGGTGGGGGGACGGCAGCGGGTGGGGGGAACGGCAGCGGATAGGGGGAACGGCAGCGGGTGGGGGGAACGGCAGCGGGTGGGGGAACGGCAGCGGGTGGGGGAACGGCAGCGGGTGGGGGGAACGGCAGCGGGTGGGGGGGAACGGCAGCGGGTGGGGGGGGAACGGCAGCGGGTGGGGGGAACGGCAGCGGGTGGGGGGAACGGCAGCGGGTGGGGGGGACGGCAGCGGGTGGGGGGGACGGCAGCGGGTGGGGGGGACGGCAGCGGGTGTGAGACGACAGCGTGTGTGGGACGGCAGCGGGTGGGGGACGGCAGCGGGTGTGAGACGAAAGCGTGTGTGGGACGGCAGCGGGTGGGGGACGGCAGCGGGAGGGGGACGGCAGCGGGTGGGGGACGGCAGCGGGTGGGGGACGGCAGCGGGAGGGGGACGGCAGCGGGAGGGGGACGGCAGCGGGTGGGGGGAACGGCAGCGGGTGGGGGGAACGGCAGCGGGTGGGGGGAACGGCAGCGGGTGGGGGACGGCAGCGGGAGGGGGACGGCAGCGGGTGGGGGACGGCAGCGGGTGGGGGACGGCAGCGGGGTGGGAGGGGGACGGCAGCGGGTGGGGGACGGCAGCGGGTGTGGGACGAAAGCGTGTGTGGGACGGCAGCGGGTGGGGACGGCAGCGGGAGGGGGACGGCAGCGGGTGGGGGACGGCAGCGGGAGGGGGACGGCAGCGGGAGGGGGACGGCAGCGGGTGTGGGGGAACGGCAGCGGGTGGGGGGACGGCAGCGGGTGGGGGGAACGGCAGCGGGTGGGGGGAACGGCAGCGGGTGGGGGGAACGGCAGCGGGTGTGGGGGACGGCAGCGGGTGGGGGAACGGCAGCGGGTGGGGGACGGCAGCGGGTGGGGGACGGCAGCGGGTGGGGGACGGCAGCGGGTGTGGGACGGCAGCGGGTGGGGGACGGCAGCGGGTGTGGGACGGCAGCGGGTGTGGGACGGCAGCGGGTGTGGGACGGCAGCGGGTGGGGGACGGCAGCGGGTGTGGGACGGCAGCGGGTGTGGGACGGCAGCGGGTGTGGGACGGCAGCGGGTGTGGGACGGCAGCGGGAGGGGGACGGCAGCGGGTGGGGGACGGCAGCGGGTGGGGGACGGCAGCGGGTGTGGGACGGCAGCGGGTGGGGGACGGCAGCGGGTGTGGGACGGCAGCGGGTGGGGGACGGCAGCGGGTGGGGGACGGCAGCGGGTGGGGGACGGCAGCGGGTGTGGGACGGCAGCGGGGTGTGTGGGACGGCAGCGGGTGTGGGACGGCAGCGGGTGTGGGACGGCAGCGGGTGTGGGACGGAAGCGGGTGTGGGACGGCAGCGGGTGGTGCCCGTGTCAACAAGAGGAGGAATGGCAGCCAGCAAGGGACCAAGAATCAATACATACCTTAAGAAGCCCTTACTAGCTCGCTTAAAGGTTACCCTCAAGTGTCTCTTCTTGTGCCCGGGCAGGTGGGCGTGTGGGCGTGGGGTGTGGGCGTGTGGGTGGGCGTGTGGGTGTGTGGGGGGTGGGTGTGGGTATGGGTACAGCCCCTGGTACCCCCTGGTGAATGGGTTAAGTGAGGCGCCGCCGGGATCACAGCTTAATAACTCGCTGGTACTCCTGATTCCAACTTTTCATCACGCAAGATCTTGTGGAAAATTGCTTCTTGTATCTCAGAGACGGGGTGGGAGTGACGGGGGTGGGAGTGACGGGGGTGGGAGTGACGGGGGTGGGAGTGACGGGGGTGGGAGTGACGGGGGTGGGAGTGACGGGGGTGGGAGTGACGGGGGTGGGAGAGACGGGGGTGGGAGTGACGGGGGTGGGAGTGACGGGGGTGGGAGTGACGGGGGTGGGAGTGACGAGGGTGGGAGTGACGGGGGTGGGAGTGACGGGGGTGGGAGTGACGGGGTGGGAGTGACGGGGGTGGGAGTGACGAGGGTGGGAGTGACGAGGGTGGGAGTGACGGGGGTGGGAGTGACGGGGGTGGGAGTGACGGGGGTGGGAGTGACGGGGTGGGAGGGCCGTTTTCAAGCGTTTTCTGATGCGTGTTGGCGTAAGGACCATTCGCCCCTGACGCACAACTGATGGCCACGCGGCCCCTCGCATGCTGAAGTGATGTGATGAGAAACATCAGCGGCCAAAATAGCCAAGAATGCTGTCGGGTTTTGGGGTTAAAAGTCAGTCGTGTCGTCAGTCTAAGGGGGTCATGGACGCCCTGGGTACGAGTCCTTCAGGGGGGGTGTCAAGAGTTATCTGAGATGATATATATAATCTAGATAAACATATATATAAACCTTCAATGGTCCCCCCACGCTATAAATAATTATAAACCCATCGGGATTCGAACCTGCAATGCCCCTATGCACTATAGCTACCACAGTACCCAAACTACCAACTGATGGTGGTCTGGGGTACTCTGCCCGTCCTCTTAAGTTCCCCCCGTTCTTATCCTAACCAGACGAGGGAAAATGGGTAAGTTTCCGCCCACCGTCCACCCTCCCCTTTGCCTGCAGTTCCCGCCTCATTAGGCCCAAGCCCTCCCCCCCCCCTGGCAGGTTTGTGAGGAAATGTGGTCATGGTTTGTTGCCACAAGTTGCCATGTCTTGTTGCCAGGGTGTGGGCGGGTGGGCGCCTGTGTGTGCTATCTACAGTATCAAGTTTAACATGGTGGAGGCTCGTGCATATTCCAACATTTAAGAGTATGTGCTCTCACTCCTGGCGCTTAGCTAACATGCACGGAAGTATGAGGATTTCTGTGGCAGGGCAGTTGGAAGGAAGG